ATGGCGGTGAGAATGATGATGTTCTGGATTTTGGATCCGTAGATGCTAATGTTTCGGATAAATATATTATATTTATCTTCAGGACTGAAGAAATTATGCAACGTTAAATTGAATTCAATTCTAAAGGGTTTTGACGACGGTAGTTTACACTTAAAATTCTTCAATGTCAGGACTTTTCCCATCGTCTGTTCTTTAAACCACGACGTTTCGGAGGCTGGTTCTGTCTCCGTCTTCAGGTGAGAGGTACCTACTCTTTTGGGTCCCCCAGACTGAGTAGGTACCTCTCACCTGAAGACAGAGACAGAACCAGCCTCCGAAACGTCGTGGTTTAAAGAACAGACGATGGGAAAAGTCCTGACAATGAATAATTTCAAGTTAAATTGAATGTTTTCTTGGAGAGACTGACATGACTTAACCTACAGGATTAAGTAACTGCGTCAGACTAAGGACAACCTTTGTCAACAAAACTTACTTTATACGTTAAAAAAATATTTCGTTTGGTTCAGTGAGCATGACAAAGTATTCAGCTCACGCGAATAGGGAGTGTGTTGTTGGGAATAGCAAATTTGTACTATACGTGTGACATAGTGAACGAGTGATGGACATACAGCGTATCGACCTTTTCTCCATCGATTCCGCAAGCTACATTTTAGTACAGAAATGCCAGTGCGCTCACTGACGTTCTGCTCATGCAGCAATATTTGTAACTGCTTCATTCATAATCGCAGTCCTCGCTATTCGGAAGAATAATAAAACTCAGACATTTTCGCCATGAGTTTTAAATATTTACTCTGACTCTGTTTCTGCATTAATTTCCTGACGTCATCAAAGTAGGTGGTAAGGCCTGTTATAATTTTGTTCTAGAGATTGTCTAAATGTGTCATAACTTCAGGATCAGCGGAAAAATTCGATTCTATGAAGTAATTAACTTAAAATGTAATATTAGTGATATACTAAATCTCTTACGGCCGTGAAGTTTGTCTCCATGAACTCCTACTTTAAATTATTGTTGTATTAACCTTTCTTATGTTGTTATTTTTTTATTATAACTTTTCTTTTCTATACTTCGATGACTAAAATTTCCTTGCAGAGTAAAGAGTTTTTTTTAAATCGAAGGCGAGCAGTACAAAAAAGTTCTGTTTCTGAACGATCTGTCTCTTTCATAGCATCAAATAGGTGAAATTGGTATCAAATAAATTTAGTAACATTGTTTGCGAAAGTTGTGTCTATAAAGTTCAGCAGATATTTTATACAAACATAGCATTGTTGTCTGCAACAGCTGCCGTATGAAATCTAGAATTCAAGGAAGCTTTGATTGAGCGGAAGGGAATGAACGATTCTCGTAATTTAAATAATTGAATACAGATGGCGCATCCCTGGAAAAGAAATAAAAACTCGCATTCATTGTTGATGTCTGATGCGGAAGTATGTAACGACAGTACACTTTGCCGCGAAATTGTGCCGCGAAAGTAATGGCTTGTGCTTCTGTGAACGTATCATCCCTCACCACTAAAATTAATCGCGGTTTCGTGTGGCGCTATTTAACTGCCTTCCACAGCTTTCGCTTCCACAGTTTCATCCTTGATGCCTGTAATATTTATAGGGCCACCATAACATTGATATTAAAAAAACTGCCTGCAGACGGTGGTGTCTGTATTTAATGGATGGAGTTCATGAACAAAAATTATGCTATCAAACAATCGGGATACTTTATCTGTTTTACAGGAATTGCTTGAAATTAGTCATGGCGTTCTTAAAACTGATAAAGCTGACGGAATGTGTTTCGGATCATTATTCGCATTTGTTTGCTAGACTCTTATTGGTTAGTACGTCATTTGACGTAAGCGGAGGGCAGCTTCGTTTGTAATTTCCGTTAATATGACGTTTCCTCTGTATGTGTCACGTTGTTGCATATAAAACGTGTTCGTATTTTCACACAGAATTGTCATAATTATGCAGTAGGCGAGTTTTAGGACTCCCACTTCTTATTCAGGAGGTGTCGGATTCAAATCTCGTCGCGGAGATCGTCTATCCCGACTGAGGGTTTTCGTTATTTTACTCAGTGCCTCCAGCTAAATTCCGAAAAATATTGTCGTCTCGTCAGCGGAATTAATACATTAATAAGTCATTCATAATTGCGATGGTTACTGGTGGTAATTGTGGATAGAAATATATACTAGTATAGTTAAGATGTAAAATTTGAAATATATTATTCCTTCTAGAGTCCCCGAATACGAGATGTTATAAATTCTTTGTATTTCAATAGTAAGTATTTTCATTATGTAGTATGCATATATATATATATAAATCATATTAGTTTGGATTGAATGCTATTAAGAACTCATCTTCTTCGTTCACTGAATTACGTATTGCAAGGCCCGTCATTTTAAATGACAGACAGAGGAACCTGTGACTGACATGTGTCCCAATCTAATTAACATCAAACAATACAAATATGACAAACATAATTGTCCACACATTGATAAGGTTTAAGTGAAGTGGTAGTTATAATGATTTTTATTGAAGTTAAAAATTAATCATGCAATTATAAACGTTGTAAGTAAAGTATGTTAACGTTTAGGAATATCGTTAATTTCTAAACATTTAAAGCCTAGATGCACATATCTGCCCCACTTTCTTTACAATCTATGAGTCTTTTTAATCTTTAGCATAATTCCGATGACAAGAAGTCATCTTCTTAATGGTGAAATGTTGTATTTTCTTTTCTGGACAGAATGAATTAGTAAATAAAAATAGAGTCCCCGGAGTGATAACGTGAAAGATTCGAGAAACATTATTTATTATAAATCTCTCTTGCCCGGAGGTTATCATCAACCTGATCATCCGAAATTCAGACTAAAGTTTAATACAATAGAAAAATACAGTTCCTAAACCCAGTAATATTTATCGTTACAGTATTATCTATAGGAGTTCGTTTAAAATGGAGGCAGTAAGGATTTATGAAACGTCGGTAAACTTCTACCAGACTACACGGCGCAACAACCCAGAAGAAAGCCATCTTCAAATAATTTTGTCATCAAATAGCATAAATCAAATTAATGAAAGTCTTTGTCCTCCGAAAGCAAGGATTACCCTGAGAATAAAGGTCTTCGTTTTTTGTGTTCATGAACATTGCTGTCACTGTGGAAGGTTGGTACCTAGATCATTACAACATGGGTTTAAATCTTGACTATAAATGGAGAGAGAAGATAGCGATAAAGCCTGGTTTAGTTTGAGGGCTGTCAGACAGAAGGACTGCTGAGCTGATCTCTCTTTCTGAGAATCACCGGGTAATCGTCTTCTTCCTGCACTCATTCCACAATGCCATCCATAATCTTCTTCCACTGACATGGAGTCAGACTCGTTCATCTCTTCACTTGGTGTACTTCGCAAGGTTTATCACAGGCAGCAGGTATCCGTGACAACGCTTATATATATATGTGTGTGTGTGTGTGTGTGTGTGTGTGTGTGTGTGTGTGTTCAATAAAATCTTCTCGGGGGCAACCAGCCTCGTTAACTGGTTACTGTAGTAAACCGACAATGAGTTGGTTGGTTGATTGGTGAACATTTCTGGTTAAATGATTTTTGGCCCTATGGGACAATATTAATAATAGTGTTTATTACTTCAGACTATCCCATTATTCTTGACACTTAATTTAATAGTCTGTTAATAAAAGGTAGTTAACCGATCGCCCTGATGAAGAAAGCAGCAGGTATATTATAAACGTATGTGAACTTCTATCAGCTTGCAAGGTGTAAGATCCCAGAAGAGTCATCTGCATATTCATTTTCAAATTTATGAAGTTTTTATAGAGTAATTTAATATTTTACTGTGTCTCCAATCTCAGAATTCTACTACGGTTTCAACGTATGAAGTCACTCGTCAGTGGACTTTTTTTTACTGAGAATATGCTGGGATCAGTTGCTGTTATAATCTTATGCTGCAACAGATTCTGTAAAGGCAGACTTTAGTTAAGCTCGCAGTCTGTTATAACAGGTACAACGGAACTTCTGTATCGCTCCTATGAGGAATGTTTTTAAGCTGCGAACAGCTTGAAACTTTTTCTCCTTCCGTTATACCTGTATGAAAACTTTGTCGATACGAAGGCAGTCGTGCGATTGATCGAATATGCTTTCAACCACACATTACACGAGGACTTCACGTAAAAGTTTTACAAATCAGTAAGCAGATACTGGCGTTAGGAGAGAATTACTTACATGTTGTAAAACAAATGTATTTGTTCATGATTGTTAAGCCTATAATTCTGTAACATATAAGATATGGACTCCATCTGTTGATTAATAAACGACAGCCCAACTTTGTGTTACTTTGGCAGTGAAGTTAATTAGATGATGAAGATTTACGAGTGCATCTTCCAGTCAACATTTTTATTCACAATTAGTATCAGTTTTGTCTTATTCGTTAAATGTCACCATTTTACAACGTATTTCTAAGTAACTGGTGATTTTTTTTACTCTGTCTTTTTCCTTTTATCTTTTTCTCCCATCTAAGTATTTACTACGTTAGATTTCGAATACATTCTGACTGTAAACAACGAATAAATTATGACATAAGCATCCACAGTTACAGCAAAATTCTCTTAAAATACAGTGAATACATTTCGTAACGTCAAGCTAGAATCGAAAGTTCAAGTTACATTTTATTATTCTTCAGTTTTTTTAATTAGGCCGTCTGGCCTGTCGCAATGCAGAACGATCTTCTGAAATTACGAATAGTGCTAGTAATTTATTAGGGCTATTTCTACGGAGGATCGACCCATCGCAAGGCCTCAACCTACATAAGACAACACAAAACAGGAAAACGCTGACAAACATAAATACGCAGTTTCAGGTTCTCATGACGTTGAGTACAAGTCTTCTGGGTTTTAGCACCTCCTGGACTTGCAGGTGGATAACGGTTTCGGAGAAACACACCGTCTTCACGTTCAGGGCAAAGTTTCTCCGAAACGTTGGTATGTATCTACAAGTTCACGCGGCCTTCGTACCCAGAAGAATGTCATCGAGGTCTTTGTTAACGCCGGCAAGGCGAGTTTGGGCGTCGGAACGTAGGAAGTGTTTGGAGCGAAATACAGCTCGTTGGTTGCATCATTTTGACTGGTTCAGAGTGTTTACGTTTCTAAGAACTGCCAATGGTAGTGAATCAACTCTCCGCTGTAAAGATGAGTTGTAATTAGTTGCTTGTTGACAACACTTCTTCATTACGGCGTATCTTATGGATGAAATATATGGCGAGTAGAATTTATGTTTGACTGGTGAACTGAGACAACATTTGGAGACACTTACTAATTAGGTAAAACGCAATTGAGAAAATGTTCACTTCAGTTGCGAAGACTAAGTTTTGTGAATGCTGTTTGAGTAGAAAGGTAACCCAGAATTAGGCCTTTTTCAAAATCGCTTAACTGTGTGGCGAGATTGGCGGTGAAGGCAACTCGTTAGGCTGTAATCGCCGCATATAGCAAAAACGCGCAAAACGGGAAACGTATATTAATAGCCAGTTTTGTGTAAAACTGGCGAGAGAAATCTTTGAATATGGACTTGTAATCTGCATCACATTCCTCATAAGCCCTGAGATGGTTCGACTCAGGTAACAGGCTTTAAATTTTGGCCGTGGATAGAACAATGATGTTTGCAAATGTTATGCCAGATAGAGAAAGTTCGCATAACGAGAGTCATTTCATACTGTGACAACAATTCATAATTGTTCCAATGATGTCTTTGTTAGTATTAACCTCTTGTAACATGAAGATCTTTTCTACGCAGGTCTACTTAAGTTAGTAGTTTTATGATAGCGTAAGTAATAAATTTTAAAGAACTGGAAACACGTACACAATAAAATTGAAGTTTCTGTTTGTACTGTTGCACACTTTATGTACTAATGTCATATTTTGTTTCATTTCAGGTAAGTGACGAGGCACTGTCAGTCGGCGCTGTTGTCTGTTTATGAAGTGAGTAACGAAGGTACAGAAAATTTATTTGAGCTCGTATTTACCTGTGATAAACTGTAATATTGGTGGCCCAGTTATGGCAGCTATTGTCATTTTGGTGAGGAAACCTCTTAGAAAATGCTAGTTGGACACTGACGATATGGTGAGATAACATTAATGTGGATATTAGAGAGATATAGGGAGGATACTAATTGGAATGAACTGGCACAGAAGGTTGGGTTCAATTCATGTGGTAGGGAGGACACTAATTGGAATGAACTGACACAGAAGGTTGGGTTCAATTCATGTGGGTTTAGTGTTTTGGGTGATATTCTTTTATTTTGGGCTAGGTTCTTTTGAGTTATAGTGCGTTACGTTACGTTTTATTATCGGTGGTTAGTTTCCTGTAGGTTATGTTAAGTTACATAATTTAGGTTGGGTTTGGCTGTTTTCGTACGGATTAGTTTAAGTTTATTTAGGACTTGTTAGTTTGGATTAGTTTGAATTGTTTTAGGCTAGTTTCCGAAAAAGAATGTTGATAAATTTGACTACTTATTAGGGTTTCCGGGTGCTGGAGCTAAAGAAACTGCCTTCACCGTTGCTAGACCTTACGACGCTTTTCAGATGTTGTGGCTGTTTTTATTTTAATCTCTCCTCCGAAACAAACAGCTTTGGTTTTAGCTGTGATCTTCTGTCATTCCTTGGTTCCTAACTAAAGAAATTGTCTTTGTCGGAACTCGAACCGATGACAGATTTTGCCTTGGTCTGGGCGCTGTTTTTCTGTCGTGCTTAGTTCCAGAGCTGTAGGAACTGCCCTCCCTGGGACTCGAACTCCTGACACGTTTCCGGACTTTTGATATTTTTGAAATCTCTACCTTGTCTCAAGGACTAAGTACGCCAGTTTTAGTGAAATCCGTTTTACCCCTTCTCTGGCTATAAGCGAACACACACCGACAACCACTTTTATACATAAGATGACGAGATTAAACTTTAGTCTGTTTCCCAGTTTTAAAATTCTGCTACCCGCAGAGCACAGCTCGCTGCTTCAATAAATTAAAGCGAGCATCATGAACATGGCGCGGTGCATCGAACCGACTATTCTCTTAGAACAGAAATAGACATTAATTACGTAGACTGTCTATACACTAAAGGCAGCTGGTATAAATATACATCGTGTAGCATGTATTGTTGGCGGAATGCACCCAATTTGTTACAGTCCTCTCAACGAATAAATTAGTTCATGCTGAAACGCCTCGTGTCTGTATTCGTGTGGTGCGTAGTTCGATCATCGACCTGGGAATCGACTGTTTTTGCCGACGGTATTGTTTTTCTCGGTGAATCCAGGAGATTACCAGGATAGTCCATGAAATGGTCCTATACTACGTCATCTTCCTGCCAGTTCAGTGAATGAGTTCATTATCTCACCCAATTCAACGCTGAATTTAGTAATTGTTCATAAAGGATTATAACCACCCACAGTTCGTGGACACTGAAAGAACTCAAGCGTAGATACAGAATTGAATGTTGATGCATTATTTAATTCAGCCAACATCTTTTATCATGTGACGAGAAATAAGTATTTCCCTCAACCACACCGTTGTATATTCAGTGCCTTAAAAGAGGCGATGGACGCAGTAATCAACTCTGAAACGTCGGTAAAATAATAACATACTACATGGCACATTATCAGAAAAGACAGTCATCTTGACAAATAGAGATGGTTTGATAGATTTGTGCTTAGGATAATAAATGGATCTGACACAGACAAATCGACAGAAAAGGGAAGAAATTTAAATTATGAGAGGCTATATAGCTTATAATATTCACCAAATCAAGGAAGACGAAATGTTTGAGGCATGAAACGAGAAATGTAAACAAAAATTTGGTTGGATAGCCTGAATGGAGGAGACATCTCGGAAGATCTAGACGTAGATGAGAGGATGATATTGAATTATATCTAAGGGATGTACTATTTCTGACTGTGGATCGGACTTATATAGATCAGGATAAGGAGTTATGGTGGGATCTTGTGTATACGGTAATGAACGTTCGGAATGTATAAAGGACGGGAATTTTCTTACTGTTAGCTTCTCAACGAGAACTCTGAGACATGGAGTTAGTTGCTATGAAAAATGTAATTAAATTGGAGGCACCACAAAGGTTTGAACAAAATTAAGGAAGGGTCGATGTGCTAAAGTGTTTTGATTACACTTCTGTAGACGGATATTGAAAGTAATGCTGTATAAAGTAACGAAAATGTAATAAAGGCAAATAAGTCTACTGCTGTTGTACCTACCTTTGGGACGGAGAGTTGCACTCCTGGGATTGCTATCCCGCGCCAAGGACCAATACTGAATATTAAGCAGCGAAAAACGAATGGGTTCAGGGAAAGCAAATTTGTGCGTCGTAAAACGAAGAGCAAATGAATGCCGACGTAGGCAACATCCAGACGTTAAAATGGACTTGTTATTGTTGTAGAGAAAATGAAGTACACGGGAAACATGCAGATATACAGAGATTCAGGGACTTTTCTAAATGCTGCTTAAACTTTCTTATGTGTCCTTGATGACATGTTTTTCAGCCTCTGAATCGGATACAACTTACGCTTGCAAAGATTGGCCATCCTGAAATATATAAACAGATGTAAGACAAAGCACGATCCACGATAAGCATTTTTTGTTTATTTCTTAAACTTTAATATCTTATTTTTCCATTGTCTTTTTGTTCTTTCTTTCTGCCCGTCTTTATCTATTCTCATCCTTTCTTTCTTTATATTTTTCTTACTGAGATAAGCTATCGTCTTCATTTAATATACAGGATATTTTAAATTATCATATTTAGAAGACGCAACTTTCGGCTGATAAGGTGATATATGTGACCTTAAAATTCTCTTCTGTAATTCAATTCTGAAAGGCAGCGGAAAGCAACAACAGAATCTTGGCTGAATTTCAAATTGAGTTGGCTTGGCTAAGGGGACAACACATGCATCTCACTCGTATTCGGAAGAAGGTGGATTTACAGGCGGATGAACCACGGAAGGGACTTGAGTTTTCGTAGACACAGTGCACATGTTTCGCGAGCAGTGACGGATATGGCGGGGAATCAGATCCGGAACGCATGCCCCATACTTAAAACGAAGGAAGAACGAGATTAAAAGATCCTGGACTCAATTCTAGAAAGATTTATCCCATTTTATTCTGCGCTTAATGCCATAGTGAAAAAAACTGAAGATGTCGCACAGTTTAGTCTGGCAGACGTTTACCAACATTCTAGTGGTACTTGCTGCCTACATCATCATGGTGATTACATGAAATCTAACAATGAATAAAGCCTTGATTAATAATTCAGCTTATTAAACCATCACGGTTTAATAAGGATTGACTAGCGTGTTGCTGCATGATACAAAGAAATTGCCTGTCATTTCGTAAGGAATTCTGAAACTGAGAATCCTTTAGGACATTTAGAGGTACTCGTTTGAAGGGAAGGTGGTACTCCTTCGCAACGTTATTTCCTGTGCAGCTGATAAAGTTAAAAATATAATTAGTTTTCTTTTTTTTCGTTTCAATGTACTGTATTTTAAAAGTGTTTTCTAATGCATGCAATATATGTGCCCGAGTATGATAACGATAAAATTGCACTAAACAAAATGAAAATAATATTATAGAGTCCGATGGGAAAAATTAAGAATTTGCTATTTGATGGTTCGTCAAGAATGGCGAAAAAATCGAAAATAGTAAATCCACTTAAGGCCAAAATAATCACCAACCAACGAATCAACCAGAGGAACATCTCACTGCCATATTCAGGGTGGAAATTTAAGAAGATAATTAACAATCACTTGTTTTATATGATATTTCATATTTTCTTTGAACGTTTTGATCGTCCATGTCAAAACTGTTGGTGACAGTAAAATGTAAAACTGTCTGTGTGCTTATTTCATCTCGCTAGGAAGAGACATGGGACTGTGGAACCATGGCTTTAGATATTATTAACCTTGACAATGAATGGTGAGACTAGGTAGCTTCACGTTATGGTCGTTTTATCCCCGGGAAAAGATCTTGAATTGAACACGGACACAGCGAACAGAGAGTTTCCCACTGCTGCCAGGAATCGACCCCGGACATGTAACCCACAGTCACGTTACGAGGCTATTGGCCTCCATATTAAACGGTAATCTAATTACGATATTTACACCTCATATCAAACAGTGTAATAAAATGAAGACCCAGTAGCACGCCACTGTTCACTCAAACGCTGGGTTTATTTTACGTGTTTCAACCGAAAGATTTTTTTATCTGAATAGAAAGCAAAGAAAGTAGTTCTGCGTTAAGTAACAGCTGGCTCCAGCGCGGAAGAAAACGTGTTTCGTGTTCAGTGCCTCTTGTTAGTTCCCTTGTTTCTTTACTTTCCACGACTGCTTTTCATTGCTTTAAGCTTCTCGTTTATGCCAGATATTTCGAATTCCCTTTTGCGATGAGACTTTGTCCTATTCTCTCCATGTTACGTATATTATGCCCATTTATCTTTCTTTTTCATCGTCTTTGTGGAACTATAGTTGAATATAAGTCTTCTAATTACATACATCATGGAGTAGTGTGAGCGGGTTTATCAGACATGAATTCATAGCTTACGTACAGAATTATTTTGTTTTCTTGCAGTTTCAACGGGTTTCTTGGAAGTGTTTACTGTCCCACATTTAGATCCTACGCAACTAACTTTGCCATCCTCTGAGAATGCTTAATTAGAGTCTTTGTGCTTTATATTCATTGCATGAAATTAACTGTCAGTATTTCTACAAAATGGTTTGTCATTATTATGTTATTTATTTTGCTTCAGAGCTACACAGTGAAGAATAATATTTTTTTTTGTAAATTGTAGTCCTTCTGTGTTATAAAAATAAAGCTAATAAGTCATTCGAAAATGTGGCAAAGTTGAACTACTTGAGAACAGCACTAACAGATAAAAATTCAGTCCACTTGGAAATTAAGAACAAATTAGATCCCGGAGATGCTTGCTTGCGAATAGTTTAGAGTGCCCTATCTAAAACCTTTTGCTGTTGAAGCAAATTGTGAAATATGTTTCTCTTCTCTCACATCGCAAATAGTAGCTCAGGTTTTCGTTCAGCGCTACATAAAGTATACATTTGAAAAAGTTGCGTTAAAGAAACTGATAAGAATAGACTACTTCGGTGAGATAAGGTTCTCACGGCGACGAGCATAAAGATGGCCGTCTTCTGGAATGTACTTTCGTGTATTCTGGTAGTTATTGACCGACATTTCAGAGGAACTTACTGCTTCCGAAACTTCTGCAAATATCTACCAGAACAGACGGCGCTGGTTTTCGTGACCTGAGTTTCTCAGAACTAGGGAACACGTTTTCCTCCAGGAAGAATATAATTATAAGCACGGTTAATTATATGGAGCAGAATCGATCTTAAAATGATATTTGCTCATTTCGTCAAATTCCTCAACTTTTATTGGACTTGACAGATCATTGCCATGTTAAAAATATTTCCAGTAGCAGGTCTACTGTTTTGAGCCAGGTTAATCCAATAAAACCCTCACATCGTGTTTCCCTAAGATTTTAGTTTTAGTAACAATCGCAAATAATATGTATCTGTGTAAAACACAATATATGTATAAAAATGTACCTTTCCACTATGCACGTAATTCCTTATTATAAACCAAAATAATTTCCTTTCAGTAAAATTCTGATTCCCTGCCATAAATCCTACCTTATTAACCTTCAGGGCAGCCATTAATATGCTAAGTGAAATCTAACGAACAAAGATAAGATTATTTTTATGTTGGATGCTAATCCTGCTATAAAAAACAGACATCTTCCCGCAAGAATTCAGCAGTTTCTTGGTTAATTTCACCGTTTTACGCAATCCATTTCACCGCCGTGTGTATTCGGTGGCAGTTCTACCTGCACAGCGGTATTTATGTGTCTCTGTCTCCGTGTAGACACAAGCAATGTACACAGTGGGGCGCTTTTGTAATGGAAACCTTCCGTAAAGACGTTATAGCTTACCTTCTGTCCTTGCTGCACGGTCTGGAGGAATATGGGAGCCTGGAAATACAATACACCAATATAATTGCAGCCAGTCAGATTTTACGAGTTGCATGTTCTGAACTGAAAATAGTGATAGTAAATTTCGTGTTTTATTAAATGGACCCAAAAAGACAAGTAATTTAACTGTAGGATGTAAGAACCGCAGGTTAAGATCTTTCCTTTCCATGTCTGTTCTAATTTATTATTAATGGTCCAATCATAAGTTACACTGTGAGCTGCTTACAGCGTCGTTAAATAGACCAAAAAAATCAAAAAGGTTGGATAAATAAGCAAGAAAGTCAATTACCGGTAAATACCGAAACGACACGATAAGCAACTAAAGTATTTTGGCCTAAAGTCGTAAAATTTGAGAAATGTAGATAATATGGTACAAATACAATAAGAACTTTTGTATTTATCTCTTTTCTTTGCTGAGAATGCTGATCTCAGCGAAAGTCACTTTGTATGAACGATAAAAAGAAGTCGTCGATTCTCGTTTACATTGAAATGGACGTCACTTGCAAGAATGTTTTTGAGTCATGATTCTGAATTTTAATTTGTACGCCCCTTAAGATTCGCCTTCTGTTGCTTTATGTTAATGTTGGAGAACTTTACGTGAAGTGTGTGTTGCCATAGAGGTAGTTAGGTTACAGCAATTTTTCTTAACTCTGCGTAACAATGCAGGAAGAAAGTGCCTACGTTTGATAAAGATCAGTCGGAAATGAAGAAGTGCTTCTCGGTACGTGCTCACAGCACACGCTACGTGCCTCAGGTCGGAACCGGATTAAAAATCCACGAACAGTGCTTTGTTTGCGATATGCACGATCAGTAACAAACAAAATTGCATTCTATTCCCAGGATAACTGCAATACAGATCGTCTCAGATAGAGGTTGACACCCCTGATTTATATTCCAGATTTTATCGAATCGGAATTCTTGAATACGTGGTTTTATTAAGTAGTTTGAGGTAGATCCTACGATAATAAATTATAATAGGCAACGACCGTTTTCAGTATTCTTTCCATTTGGTCAGTTACACGAATCATTAATATGACCTCAAGACGTTGTAGCAGAACACAGAATTGTTAAGTTAATTGTTACGAGCGTCCTTATAAACCGCACAGTTAATCAGTACAGATACTTTACTGATTCTGTAAATGTTTAGTTTGTTGCAGGAATATTATATTAATATTGTCCATTGCCTGCGGTGTAAGAAGATAAATTTGTTTTAATTTTATCGAAAGAACGATATTTCAGAATATAGTACGATGAATCTGTGGACTCCATATGTGAATGTGAAGGTTACACTGCTATTAGGCTGATATATATATTTAAGTCTAAATGAAGATGAAGTGATTACGACAAAACTGCGCATATTTTACCAGAAATTACATCCAAAACTTTGATATAACTATGCAATTAAGTTGGAGAGAAAGGGCAGTGATGTCAAGCTGAAGGTATTGTGGTGGGTCTCAGAAACCATGACCAAGCAGTAGGAGTTTCATTGCTCGCCGGTAAAAACCTCCCTGGGGAAATAAAAAATCCTTCACTTTTTAAAGCTCATACATCACGGACAAGGATAGAAGCTGGGAAGAAGGATGACGCCAAAATGTCCTGCTATAACAAAAGGGAGTGAAATTCCTCGTCCATATCAAATTAATCAGAGTGGCATAATAATAATGATAATAATAATAATATAAATACGAGTTATATAAATTTTTTGGTGACAAGGATCTTTGTCGGGAGGAAAATTTCTAAGATTTAGTAATTTAGTGTATGATTTGAAGTTTTCAGAGCGATGAGTATGAAGATTTCTGTCTTCAGGGTTGTTGCGCCGTGTAGTCTGGTCGATGTTAACCAACGTTTCAGAGGTCATACTGCCTCCGTCATCAGGGCGATGAGTATGAAGATATCCGTCTTCTGGGTTATTGCGCTGTGTAGTCTGGTCGATGTTAACCAAGGTTTCAGAGGTCATACTGCCTCCGTCATCAGGGCTATTCTAATCGCCCTGATGACGGAGGCAGTTTTATGTGGGGTAGGGTGGGACACGTAGGGGCAATAAGGAACGCAAAACTTTGATGGTGAAATGTCATGCGTGGAAAACTACACCTCATTTTGGGGGAAATGACGTGACTTTTATCTTTTAATGACGCCTTTTCGAATGAATACGTTATGTAGTTTCGAATTAAATGATAATTAGGGATTATAAGTTAAGAGAGATGTAGAAAGAAGCGGCCGTGACCTATTTTAATATACAACTGGCGCGCGTATTTCTTGGGACTGAAAGGAAGTTGAGTCGGTGTACCATCAGAGATAGAAGTAGCTTACCTCCTCTTTTCTTTCCCAGGTCGTCCTCTTATGAGAAGATATTATGTCGATGAAATACAAAAGGGACCTAAGATACGTTTATGCTTCTCGTCATGTATACTATTCCAAAATTTGTGTGGAGAGACTAAGGAAGAGCTGAAAGAATCAGTCAGAAAATCCGTCTCCGTGCTTAGATTCGATGTCGCGATCCTCAGTTCAAACCACTCGTCCGCTACGGAAGGGGTATCTCATGAAAGTTTATTATTTTTCAGTGTGCTAAGAATACTAATTAATTTATCTGTTAGCGATATTTATTTTCGGGTCCACAGTGCACGTAAGTTCTGCTTTAAACAATTTTTCAACTCCGGTACAGTAGCTGGCTGTTACAAATGGCGTTGTGACTTCTCTTGATCAGTTACATCTCGTTTGTTTAATGTACCAGAACATTACGAAGGTGTTTAATACTAGTCAAAATATGAGTTAAACTTTGATTATCACATTTTTGTTTAAATTCATTACCAGAATGAGAACAAGACAGCTTTCATTACATAAGACATGACAACATGTTTTCCGTTTATGCTGCTACGTTTCGACTAACTCCATGAAACAGAATCCTTTTTGAGGAACTTAAATTTCACTGCATTTCTTACAAGAGCCACCAAAGGATTCTATCCTGAGCCAGTTGAAGTCGCTGAAAACTGATATCACACGTAAGATAATTTGAATATTATCATCTCATCTGCGCCTGTATCTTCCTGGTGTTCTCTGTCGTTTATATTTTCCGACAGAAACTTTTTTCATTTCTGACCTTTGCTCTGCGTGCTACATGTCCCGCCAGTCGTAACTTTCCGTAAAACTAATAAATATGATGAAGACCTGTACCTTCTGTGAAATTTATTATCCAAGTTAATATACTGTAGTATCTTATAGACATATAAACATTTAAGTATGACATGTTTTTTTTCGGGATTGAACGTTAATTTACAGTGCCATATTATTTGTTTTTCTTCCCACATTGCCTTTCTATGTTACTGGTTTAATACTTGAACAATGAAAGGTCTAAAGTCGAAAATTAATACAACGGTACTTACAGCAATGTACTACTTGATATTAGCAAAAACACTTAGTTCTGTTTATTTAATTTCATTTGAAGTAATTGTCCTCTCCTTGATAGCATTATACTCATGTTATTTCCAGAACAAATTAATTTTGCTTTTAAACTGCACACTGTTCTTGTCTTCATAATTATTCCAAATTTGAAGATTTTCTAATGCATTATTTCACTTTGCCTTTTGTAAAGTAATGAAACTAATGTTTTCTCGCGTTATACAGCGCGCTCCGTTGTATTTCTGCTCGTAATTTCAGACAGTTTTAAATGTGATTAAGTTTAAGAACGTCATTAACACAGGCACCCTATGCTACTATGCTTGAACAGGAAAATGCAGCCTGAAGCAAATTCAAAGTTCTCTTGTGTTATTTCCCTTTCATTGCCAACTGCTTGTAATTACAGTGTTAAGTTTTGCGTACACCAGCCTACAAGAAACTATTTATATGTTGGGTTCATTCATTTCTTTCATTGTGGAGTGAGGGATGTTTTCGTCTTACTTGTATTACTTAATTCTCATTACCCTAAATCGAGCAAGATATATCTTCGATTCTTTACTGACATGGCATTAGCTAAATAACAAACAAGCAGATATATAACTAATTAACGAAATGAATGAAGCATATAGGATTTGAGACTCGCGGCGAGTGCAATCAATAAAATATTCTCGGGCAACAGCCGCTTTAACTGGTTACCATAGTAAGCATGTTTCTCAAGGAAACGTTATTCGAAATCATGCAAACTTTTGGGTCAGAGGTGAATCCTCTTCCTTGTGATGAGCGTATGATAATGCTTGGTCAGATTTATCGCAAACCTTGTGGGGCGGCGACAGATAAGCATGGAACAATGGTTGAATGATGATAGAAAGGGAGAACCGATAAACACGGAAAGGAACCTGCTCCAGAAGCACTTTGCTACAAATTTGAACGCACCGGAGCTTGAAACTGGTTATCTGCTATCAGAATACAGCATTTAACCGCCAGAGATGTTATTAAAGTGGTAGTAAATTGAGTTTTGTTTTCGAAACAGCATCCACTGGCGGGCTTCTGTAAACATATCGGCTTGACATCGAGTTCCATAAAGCAGGGAACACCTTGGCGACTATCAGTTTCTCAAGAAGGATCTCCGGCTGAGTTAGGTACTCAGGTACCTAGAAGTAATTAAATAACTGAAACTTATGTTTATGTTTTGAAATCAGACATCAAATTTGACTAGTTAAATTTACTGTTTTGTATTCGTCGAATTCCTGGTTCAAATATCGATCGATCTCGAGACCGGCTATCCTGACTGAATATTTTATTTGTTTTTGTGTTTCTCAATCCCCGAAGGAAAATTCCGAGTTAGTGCCTAAAATTGGACTTCTTCCATGGGATTTCTAATTCAGTATTCATTAATCATTCTGCCATCCGACGCTACTGACAGCGTCGTTAAATATACCGCAAGTAAAACAGATTTTAATTGGATCCAGGTAGGCCTATCCGTCATTAGTGTTGTTCATAAAATATGGAGCTTTTATTACTTCGCGTGGCGTCCATATTCCAATTAGTCTTTTCTTGTAAATGCTTCTGACTGTATGTTGTCTTTATTACATGCCATCTGCCGGTCACAAAATGAAATTCTATAGTGGTTTGGGCTCCAATTAACCTTGCGATCAAACAGCATTTATGCGAATAACAATAAAAAAAATTGAAATGCGTATTGCGTCAGAACGACCAACGGTTAGCATCGGGTTGGATTGAGGCCAACAATAGGCATCGGATTTCTAGTAATATTACGGTTTCCGTATTTAAATTAAAGGGATTGTTATATCTGGTTTGTTTTCTGCCGTCTTGATTCACTCAACATGAAACAGACGCAGGAAGCCACAAACATTTCATACTGCTAAGGTTTCATATTTTATAGCAACTGGGTTATGTGCAAGCCACTGGATCCTACATTTGACGTCATTTCTTAACCACAACCCAAACGAGAATTAGATAAACAAGCCTAAGGAATGTAATAATATAACCACGTATCCCATAATACAAGTATGTGAACTCACCTAGAAAATTTTGTTGTTACTTCTTCGACCCTGAGATTTGAAGACGTCAGCGTGGTTAAAATATATTGTGGTATTCTATTTTGTGATGCCGAGTGGAGTTGTTGGTGATTACAAACGTCTCGGAGGATCATATCGCCTCAGCAAGTAGGTCGAAGGTGGCTCTTCACCCTGAATACAGAGGCTACTCGTTCCCCTTTCCTCCTATAGGACGTTCAGTGTAACATGTCTGAGATTCGCGAGCGGAAGGCAACGTAGGCTGCCTGATGCGCAACGCGCAGGCTTCTGCGCATTCCAAGGTCACGTTCGCTACTCATTGCTATACGTTGCCTCTGTGCTTAAGCACCACGCTACCGTGGCGGATGGGGGAGCAGAGATAAAGCAACACGGAATCATTGCCTCGGCACCAGGATGGAGGTGAGTGGTCAGCTTTACTTTCGGATCACTTCAGCCCCCGGAAAAGAGCCCCCGTGCCCATTAGGCACAAGGCTGCGTGAAACCTAAGGCCCATTTGACCTGGTGACGAAGAGATAAATCCTGCCTCTGACAGTAATTGAACTTCGGCTGTCGAGCTTGTAGGCATTCACTGTATTGCTTGAGCTTTCCCGGCTCAGTATTCGTTGTGTTTTGTCGTTTCCGATATTGATCATGCAACTGCCGTGTTTAGATTCGGCAAGGAGTTTCGCGAAGTGATCCGACGATGTTAATCTTTTGTCCGGTCTACTGAAGCAACCAAATATTACAAAGTCGATTGAACCAAGTACAATGAGGTAAGCGGAATATGCAGAGTGTGTGTGGGAAATAGGAATCGCCCTGATTATGGAGGCAGCAAGCACCTCTGAAACGTCGGTAACGCACGCAGACGTAGAATAGCCGTGACGTTTTAACGCTTTCGGATTCCTTGACTTCATAACTGACACATGGATGTCGGTGCGTTATAAGAAATAATAAATGATATAAATTTTCCAGTTTGTGAAATACGGAAAGATCCTCATTTCACACTTTATATATTGTGAATGCGCACAAAATTTTAGTCCAAAAATCTACAGGGATGTAACTGACTGGGAGACCAAGGCGCAAGTGGGAGGTTAATATTGAAATGCATCTCAAACAAACATACTGTGAAGTTGTGGGCTGCATTCAAGTGGCTCTGGAATCAAGATAGGGTCCAGTGGCAGGCTATTATGAATGCAGTGATGAATTTTCATATTCCCATAGGCTAGGAATACCTTGACCAGCTGTCTTAACGTCAGCTCTTACGGACTCAGTTTCAGAGTGTCTTTTTTAGTTATCATATAACAGGTGGTTGAAAGTTTCCGGGCTAGTAACCTGTCACGAGCAAATGGAAAATATCCCTGGTAACGAATCTTTAATATTTATTTTGTTGCCGTTAGATTTGTGAACGGGAAGATGTAAATGATATTTTTTCAGAAAATTTCACAAGAGAATCTCTGAAGCCCGCATGATATTATCGGGTGACTTTTTTCTGAGACTGAATACAGTGATGTCTGTAAACGTGTTTTTCTGTATATTTCTACTCTCGTGTGACCATACAGTTTTTATTAATTTTGATGAGAAGTGTGAATTATCAAAACTTTGCCGGACGTGACAAAATGTCTTCCGTAAAGCAGCGATATATAAATTTCTGTCCCAAAGGTGGCCTGTCGCTTTAGCTCTATGGAGTTGTTAGTGTCAAACTGGATGAAGGTTTGTAAACAACAGATTATAGTTTGCCATGTGTTATACATGACAAGCAGGGCCTTCTTTATTCAGGGCCCAATGATTTACGACATGCGACAGCTGCAAATTTCAACACTACGTTACAAAATTTACAGTTTCTTAAGTCTAAATCAAACCGTGTTGATTCTTGGCTTACCATCGCGTAGGAGTAAGAAGGTTATGTAATGTCATTTGACAGCATGGTCATGAATTGGAAAGGAAGTAGGAGGAAATGCCGATAGACTGTTTTCTCATCTGCCTATTTTGGCTCTAGGGTACATTAAACGCACTTTCAAATACGAAGTTCTTCTAAATACTGCTAAAAATCTGTTTCAAATTTCAAAGATAAACACAGCGCTTTACTATTACAAAGGTTAATCGGTTTACTCTGTACAGGAAAATAATCGATATTTTCTCTGAGAATCAACGACCACTCTGTGTGCAAAATGCAGAGACATTGATTGAATCTAAAAGTAGGTGGTACATATTTTACCACTGAACATTAACGATTTAACACATGATCGAATTATGCAACATATTACCACCGAGTGTGCACTTTGCAGCTATTTTTGAACTAGACGTTCTCCTGGTCTTGATTTTGATCTATTTCCAGACATTCGTGAATAATTTATGATTTTTTATTAATTCAACGTACTGGTATCCGTACTATACCGATTTCCTTCTAATGCATAATTCAGTATTAATATATCACATAGTGGATTGTGACATTTCGCTCGGTGTCTGACCACAGTTTCGGAACAGTTAGATGCGTAGCACATAATTTTGTATTTGCAGAAGATCTGCCTTGAATACAGTCTGTAAATAGAGTCATTAGTTTTTTCGAAGCCTAAAGACCTGACGGGCTTTTACTTGATTTACCACCGGATCCAAATTCTACGCTGAACGAAGTTAAGATGATTTCTAGATTTTAGTGAAAGTAATTTGCATGATTCGCAGATGTGGCATAAGAATTACGCAGCGAGACAGCTCGTACAAAAATGGCCTGCATTCGGACAGAAAATAATGTATGCAGGTACAGGATTTTTCAAGAACATGGCTGTCTTCTGAGTTGTTGCGCCGTGTAGTCTGCTATACGTTTACCGACGTTTCAGAGGTTCTTGCTGCCTCCATCATCAGGGCAATCGAACCTGGCGATTAATAGATGATCTATCCTACCGACTTGTCCACGGAGCGATTAGAACTCATTCTGTCTTGCTACTGGTAGAGACAAGATGTGTCTAGTGGACGCCTCCTGAATGTTTTGGAGATGAGATTAAGAGTAGGAAGTGACGTCAAAGCCTCACTGTAGTCCCATTCTCATCACAGGAGCTTCCTCTTCCCCTGCCATCGGCAAACAATATCATATCCTGCCCGCTTGAGCTACACAGTGTTCAAACGTATCTGAGTTTACAAGACTGAACTGAAGATAGTAATCTAATGCCATTTCATTAGGGGTGAGATGGAGGGAAAATATGCTGAGTCCAGGGCAAGATCGCGATCAAACTGTCATGTCTGTTCAAACTTCTATGCAGCTAATGGCATGGAATTTCTACTTTGATCCTGAGATGGTATAAAACAGGATATATAATTCAATTTCGAAGTCTAAATACAGTTGGTTTACAAAGTAAAAGTGGTACAGCTTTGTTTAGACTGGCGTGCATCAGTTACTTAAGACTGAATCATTTGATTCTTTCTTGTACACTTGCAGGAAGTTGTCATTCAGTGACGTTATGTGACTTTAATGCAAGTTAGGATTATAATGAATGCATATTAAATTTGGATAAAGAAATTACACTGTAGTGGAACACCGAGTCTGAAATAATCGTGGAGGTTACAAATCTGAAGCGTACCAAATTGTATTAAGAAACGACAACGCAGAAATGTGGTACACGCTACAGTCCACCATAAATGTTACCTTTGTCCACGGAGAAGGGTCTGTCTTGAAAAGAGTCGTTCAGATTCTGCAGTGTGTTGGTACACAGATCAAAATATAAAAGGTTCAATTTGTCATTTGTTTTGTATCGTTGTGAAACTTCGACGTCCACTTTAAGAGAAGAATTTTTGAAATTTTGAAGTTCGAAAAACAATTTTGTTAAACCTTCGGTAATCGAGTAAAGAAGTTGTTACTACATTAAAGTACGAATTGAGTATCTGTGTGATTAAGAGGTCAGTTGGTTTCAGTATTAGTTGCAAGTGAAAGTACGGCTGGAGGCTTTGAATAATCACACAGCTGCATTTCGCATTTCTCCTCGCATTATAACAGCGCTGGTTTGTTGATTGTTCCCCTGGACTTGTACGTCAAAGCCCCGCTATCACGCGCCCTCGGGTGTGTGTCCCGTGATAGCGACTGGATTCTCTGTTGTATGTTTCACGGTTCGTTGCCTGATCAGGAAGTTCGCTGTAGTTAAACAATGCGGGAATATCTCACACGTGTGTAACGGCTTCTCTGTTCCTTCCGTATCTGATGTTGCTTGGACTCTGACATAATCTTCTGTGTCTCTTGGACTCGGTTGGTCTCAGATTTTGTTTCAGGGATGGTAAAGACGATGGAACAACGCTGCAGAGTGGCTTGCAGGCCTGTTTTGTATTCCGGAATCCTCGCGGGTTTAAATTTCGGCCATTTTTACTAACAGGCGGTTTCTGGTTTTCCTTAGTCCCTCCATACAAATTCCAGGATGGTACTTCAAATTAAGCCACGACCGCTTCCTTCCATACCATTTTAAATTCATTATTCATTAATCAGCCAACTATTAACGCTGTATATTCTGAGCATTAACAGCTTCGTTAAACACACAAAAATCAAGAAACCTGCTCGAGACGGTAACCTTCACGCGTTCTAAAGGTGTTTATAGTTTTTTAGATTTGTTTCTATGAACTGACATTCACCTGATCAGACGGGGACACACTGCACATCAAACTCTTGAATAATGAACAAATAACATAATACGCAACATAATATGCAAAATAATAAGAAGATTAAAGGAACACCCACAACAGTAATCTACAATCTACAATCAATGAAAAGCGTGCATTAATAAATATAGAATAGTTTTAAATGATAAAAACCTGAAGATGATGCTATGACATTGAAACATGTTGTAATATATAGCGCAATATTGTAACATCGAGATAACGATGAATGACGCAGAATATTAATGGCGATTTTAAATTTTAAATTTTAACATCTACAATTTAAAAGTTTGTGTATAGACTTGAATAATAAATATATATTTGAATTTCTAAAGGTGTGTATAATCAGTCGTTCTGTGTCATGAATTAGGAGTTTTAGATTTGATATATATATTTGTCGCAATGGGATGTTTTATTTAAAAATAAAACAGTAGGACACGGGGTGAGTGAATTCATTTATGTCCTTCCTGACGCGACACTTGTTAAAAGCAACAGATACATAACAACATACGTTAAATGAATCTAAAATGGTACAAGGGATGTAAATACTGGGGTGATGTATTGTGAAATGTATGTTCTGTAAGGGAAGTGCCGCTGAGACTGGAGTACTCATTTCATAATCTTTGCACTTCAGATGTTCAGCTTGTGGCAGCTTGCCCGTTCTGTGTACGTACGAAGAAGGAGAGGTTTAACTAAACGAGAGGTACCGATAAAGCGGTCGGTAAAATCCGGTAAGACTGATGTTAC